GGATTCATTATTTTAACATGCAAGTCTTGTGTGTTGTTTAATTAATATTACACGCAATTTGAATGTATTTGGATACGTGGGGCCGTAATGACCATCATACACAGGTATAAATAATTTACAGTACAAGAATATACTTCTAAGGTTTCTGTTTCTTTGATCATGTTTATAGTACTAAAATTGCTGTTAAGAGGCAATATGCAGAAGCTTATGACATTAAACCTGCACAATTTCTTTCGTAGACTTGCATGCATTCAATTTCACATGTGAAGCCATCATCTTTAGTTTGTGTAAATGAATATACTATTATTATAAACACTTTGTCAAATTTGCACACATTTCTTCAATTTTGCAGCTGATTGTGGAGATCTGAATGCTATCAATGGTGCACTATCATGCGATATTGCTGTCTCAAGTCAGTGCATTTTACATTGTTATGATGGCTATGCATCATCCACGGAAACATATAATTGTGTCAACCGACAGTGGAGACCAACCGACCAAGCACGATGTTCAAGTAAGTGTTTAATAATAGTACCTCGACCCCCTGCAGTAATCTTGCAGTAAATTTATTTATAATAATTGAACTAAAAATGTATATATTTCTATTTATCTGTCCTACTTCTGTAAATGATTTTTTTCTAATGTGTATGACGCCGTTAGTATTGTAGGCAGTGTTTTCATTGATCTTCTACTTTCATTTTAATATACTGACGGGGTACGTGGGTTACGGGTGCCAGTGTGACTGAGGCTGTTTTTTGGACTTCCACAACCCTATCAGAAAACTCTGATGAAGTGACCCTGAAATAACGTTCTGTAATAAAATTAAGTTATCCCCCGACTTGTAAAGTAAGGTTTGTAGTGTAGATATATAATGTAATGTTTTTTTGGTAACTTGACTTTTAATTCAAATTATGATGGGTAGTACATGTATTCAGGTTTTTATGGATGGATCTGTAATTTAAACATGTGCTGTTAGGCAGAGATGGCAGCTTCACCAATAATTCTGTCGCATAATCTACAAAGTTTAAGTACGTCATGGATGCGCATTGGCATAATTATTACCATAATCTTTCCAATATAAATTTTGTTTAATCCCACTATATGGTTAATTGCTTTTTTGGTACAAAGTTACTATAATACTGTGATGACAAATGTGTGCTGACAAGATTATATATCTACAATCTGCATACAGATTATTGTAGCGCACTAAATTGTGATTATGATATGCACCAGCAGTAATCATTACTGTATATCTGCGACTCTGGCCTATCTGGGTGTGAATGTGAACCGACATGCTCTATATGTAGTGAGTATTGTTTTTTTTCCTCTAGGAATACGTGGACAAAACGGGCAAAAAACTCTAACATTTAGTATTTTGACAACTTGTCAGAATATAGAAACCTTGTGGGACGATGTTTTGAAAGTGTTGGCAAGTAACTTAGATAAACACAACCTATGTCACATACAAGGGAAAAGGGTATGTAGTAAAAACAACATTACGTTGCGCTGTGGCAATAATAACAGAAACAAACGTGACACGGACAATGTCGTAACTGTTGAAATGGTTATCGAAATTACGTCAGAAGAATACATACTTGATGATGAGGAACGTGAGATTCAACAGCAACAGATGGAGAATGAACTTAATGCAGCTGCCAATAGGATTGAAGAATTTATCAACAATGGGAGCCTAGTAATTGAGGTTGATGGGCAGACATTCCCAGCAGAGCCTGAGTCTTTCTCAGTAACTGAAGTAGAATGGTATTGCATGGATGGATATATTCAAAGTTCATCACAATGCAGTAAGTGAGCACTAACTATTCTGCATGTTTGTTCTTCTTTGAATAATTCGCAAAAGAAAGAAAGAAATGTTTATACTTTTGTTATTGGTGTTTCCATTTGACAGACCAATTTGAAAATATTATTGAACTATATAGGAACGTATTGATCACTATGCAATTGTTCATCGGATCAGTATCAGTATTGCATGAATAAGACAAGATGTGGCGTGCATGTGAAATGTCTTCAAGCAGTTGTTTATACACAACTATTAAACAAACTTTGGTGCACTGATTGTAGTAGGTATTACAGGCATATATGAATAGTATTATCTATATGCAATGATCAACAAGATTTCATTATTTAAAAAATATTGAGATACAATTTGTGTCATTTAATCACACATACTTACGTCAAACTAGTATAAGAGTTTAACCATTTCAATATGGATTTTACTTGTATGTATATATTAAATTGTTACCTTATTTTTTCAGATAAGTTCGCCAGTCCGATGTGTCACACTAGTGGTAGTGTTTTTATTGTGGTTGTTGTCTTGGTCTGATTTTGGTGAAAGTTTGTCTTCGGTGGGACAAATAAAAAAATCTTTGATAAAAAATATATATTTTACAACATTCACAATTTGTTTAAAACCAGAATAAACCAAACCACACTAATTGTTTTAGTAAAATTATCGTAGTCTCTCCTGCAAGTGTATGAATATTTTGTGTTTAACCCATTACATCTTTTTATTAAAACACATTTACTTTCATTGATTTATAGCTATTTAACTTCCGGCAAGGTTATATTGCTAAATTATGTTTCGTTTTTTTTTTCAGATGCATGTCCATCAGGTGCAATGTACAACCCAGATACCAATACTTGTATCGACTGTCCATTTGATACATATCAGAGTAAAGAAGCACAATTAGAATGCACTCCATGTGAAGACAACACACATACTGTACATGAAGGAAGCTTCAAACAATCACAATGTAAATACTGGTGGTAGTGGTTTTGGTGACGGGTGTATATATGTTTTACTCGATGAGGGTACACTTTCCGATGATCAGAGGTGATCAGAGGATGTGTTGGTGTGAATATAGACTCTCCTAAAATGCTTTGTGTGACGTAGTTTAATTACTGCTCTATGACAGGGAGAAATTAATTAATTGCTTATGCTCATTATCATCTGGATGAGATGTCACCAAGGAACAGTTCTCGACTTCTGCCTAGAAATTGTTGCAAAAAAGACTTCAATATTTATTGTTTTACGTCCATATTTGCCATCTCAAATTATCTGATATGTGTTGTCTATTGTCTATTTAATATTTATTTCAGTTATTTCTTCCTCTCAGAATAAATGTGACAACATGCATGTCTAATGTTATTATTGTCTCATTCAGGTGTCGCCGCTTCATCTGAAGAAGACAGTCAAACTCCCATTATAATTGGTGCTGTTGTTGGCATTGTCTTACTTATAGTTGTAGTGGTAGTGACAGTACTTGTGTGTCGCCGTAGAAAATCAAGCCAAGAACCAATACCAGGTACCAGCCATGCAAGCAATATCTATGAAGATGATGATTTTGAATTGAAGCTTAACTTGAAAAGAACAAACACTGCGAAGCTACACAAGGCGATGTTTGAACATGAGGACACTGATTACTCTGCCATACCTGAAAAGGACTCGAACTATATGGAGCTCAACAAGAAGGATATACAGACAAGTGAATATGAGGCATTACATACACAATCCCAGCTTGAGCTTGAAAAAGACGATGAACAAAATCTTAAGACATTCAATTTGCCGAGAGAGACGACAGAAGAACATGCAGTTGAGATAGAGTAAAATAACTGTGCATTCTAAAAAATATACATTTTGTTCTCTAATATTACTTTATTCATCTCAAATGTATTATTTAGAAACTGGTGTAGGTATTGTATTATGTTGCTTTTTAGTAGAATATAATATATTACTTTCGAATAGATAATATTTTGGTTTGGGTAACCTGTTGGAAATATTATAGTCTTATATTTACATTTAAATTACGTATAAAATATATGCATGATTGTATGTAGTATATTTCTAAACATATCAACACATGGACAACTGCAAAGGTTATGAGCTTATAGATTTGGAATCAAATTTGTCATGCAACTTTGGCGTTTGTATTTGTGAATTAACGAATGCAACCCTGTAATGTGAAAATAACGCATTAAACCATAGATATTTAAACTTCATATATAACTTAAAAAAAAATTAATTTCCATAATCCAATTAGGCAAACATTTGATATAAAGATATTGTAAGTTACCTTTCACAAATACTATTTCGGTAATTTGAAGTGTAACAGCTTTCCCCTCATATGGAAGCATTCATTCACTGATAGTTGTTTTCTTATGGCTCCGTGTCTTACTATTGTTTATAATCGTAAATATCATATACAATATGTAGCAAACACAGTCTGTACAAATGAATATATTGCTTTTTAACTTTATTTATCCATTTCACATATTTATACTATTGTACTGTATATAATTGGAATTATTTGTAAATTAACTAATGTATGTTTAAATTTATCTAATTTCAAGACCAATCTAACTTGTCAACTGTCTGTAACCTACGTTACAGAATAATATTTTACGACGGAAACTTGAGTAGATCTCTGTTATAAAGATAGGCGTGAACGGAAAGTGCTCATTTATGTTTTAATTAATGATTATCAAAGTTAATTAACTGAAAAAATCCCATAATTTCTATTTTTTTCAATTTCAATTCCATGAATATTATATTTAATGATTATCAAAGTTAATTAACTGAAAAAATCCCATAATTTCTATTTTTTTTCAATTTAAATTCCATGAATATTATATTTTTGTTATTTTTATTTTACTAATTGCGCTGTAATTTGGTCTGTACTATTCAAAGTAATGCACGTGATGACTAGAAACAAATATTCAACTGTTTGCTCGATACAATGGAATACAGAAACATGTTAAACCATACATAGAATATCCTGAAGATGGTTAACGTTAAATAATATTCTAGCTGAAAATACGTGTGTAATTCGGTAATTAAAATGTGCAGATTATTCTCAGTTTCAAATAATAAACAAGCTGAAAACAATTCATTTCAACTTCAGAGTAACTATAAGGATGTAACCAGAAATGTTATGTGTGTATATACTTGCATCAATGTTTAATTTCCAGTGTACCTTACTTTGTTTTAAAATGAATACAACACACAAATAGGTAAGTGGTATAAACTATAATAATGTAGTAAGTAATGCAATATTATGATAGATATAATGAAATGATACAGTGCATGGAGGATTACTGTATTTAGGCTTGTTACAAAGTAAGTTTATTATTCCTTTCCTTTCCATTACAATTGAATTAGCAAATTTTCTTTATGACGGTGTCGATTGAAACAATTGTAATATATTCAATATATGGGCATTACAATTGCAAATTTATTACATATCTTTGAAAATCCTGTTCAGTCTCTAGTTAGGCTTGTTGCAAAGTAAGTTTATTAATCTTTCAAATTACACATTAATTAGCTCATTTTCATAATGCCGATTTTACTTGCTATATGCGTATAATGCTCATAATGTGTCAGTATTTAATATTACTTTCACCCACGTGTTTGACATGTGCATCTTTTCTATTCTATTGGACATGTATCCGTTTCCATGTGGAAACGTAACTGGGTAGGTCGTTCTGGTCATGATATGGCCCTATATGTATGCAGACTATATTCTGCAAGTTGCATTGTGGGATTTTAACTGCGCATGTCCATCTAGTTACTACGAGTGCGCATTCACTATACGTTATTTCAAGACGACAGTGCACTGTAGCGTAGCGGGGAGCGTATCTGCTTAAAGTGACGATTTTTGTGTGGGGCGTTCGAACCTTGCTTTTTGTGTGTTCGTGATATGCTAGTACATGTTATTACTATTGCAATAATCTTTATGTTAGATGAGCTCACATCGGACTGTTCTGCTTTCCACATTAAGCCACATGTTGGCCTAATTAGTATGCCTAGCTTCCTATGAAAATTATTATTTTTTAATTGACTGTTTTTCGGCTTGATCATATCTGTCTTTGCATTGAAAAAGAGAATGACTTTATACGTCTTACTTTTTTGACATACGACCTCGAAACGCTGATTTGGAAAAAAGTGACGCTTTTAATTAATTGTGTTGAAGCATATGTGAATGGGATGTCAAGTTCATTATCTACTCAAATAAGGTTAGACAAAATACGATTGAAAATATTATATATTCACAGAATTCCAACATCCAACAGCTGAATTAATCTTTTGTATTCTGTTATTTTTAGATTGATTCTCGGATTTACTATAAATACGATTTATCCTACATTTGTGTTCCGTAAAACATTTATTGTACTCCGTTATTATGCAGTGACTGTAACCATCAGGTAAATATGTTTCCATCAATGTGATATGTCTATGCAAAAATGCATATATATCATAGCCATTTGAAAGATTAGGAAAGATTAACTTATGGAGATACTTGAATAGAAAAACCGTTTAGCATGTTGATAAATTTTGTTCTCATATTTTTATTTTGTCTGTTTTCATCGATACATATACGCATATGTAAGGACAAATATACCTGTGCGAATGCTGCTTATTCTCATATTGACATTTATTTTTGTAGTAAAATATCAAGATCACAGTCACACATTACGCTTTAGATACAGAATCAGTATTAGGCTTACTGAAAGTGCATGAGCTTTCTGTCCAGCTTATTGTCTCTGTTCTGATTATTGTTCTTACAGTGAGTGGTGTTTTTCCAGCCAGCCTATTGTTTTTGTTTCGATTTTTCAGGATGGCTTCAGAAAGCATAGACCGATTGTTTTTGTTTTTGAAGATTTTCTCCGTTTATCGTTCCAGCTGTGAGATAAAATGTGGATAACATACCTACCCTCTATTTTTAGCCTTTGCAGACGAAGTCTGCCGAAGGCTTATAGATTGGGTTCTGTCCGTCCGTCCGTCCGTCCGTCCGTCTTTTACCTCTTATAACTTTGATATGCTCTGTCCAATTTTTTTCCAAATTGGTGCAAATGTATATCTCAATGCCATACATATGCACGCCAAGTATTTTTTGATTCGCCAAAGTTTCATTGTGTTTTTCTGTGATTTTCAATATTTTACTAGTACAAATGCCGAAATTTGCCGGAAAAATCAGAGTTTTAACGACATCTCGCAAGAGAACTGGCATACCGTATTGCGCATGCGCCAGTCCAACCGCTGAGGAAATCGGCGGCGATTTCGTCTGAGGATATTTTATTCCGGACTGTATCTTTCTTTGCACAAGGCTTACATAGATTCTATCTCAAAGGTAAGAAACTGTGCTTATGGTATTTATTATGAACTTTGATTTATCCTTTTGTGTCCTGACTTTAGTGAGAAACTATCGATCGCACAGTGTCACATTTTGCCAGAAAAACAGAACTGGCTATGAAACGTGTAAATCGAAAGTCTATCTCGTCATTTAGGAGGCTTGGGAATAACGTTTGGCATATAAAATACTGGAATAATAAAAACGTGAAAGTTTAGAACACGCTGATCGTGATTCTGTTATGTACGATTGCTATTTCCGGTGTTCATTGGCAACTGTAGCAGATTGAAACTTGGTTTCGTGACGACACATTAGACTAGAATTATCGAGAAAACACAAGTCAAGTTCGGCCAACCGTGACTGCTTGAAAGCAATGATGAAATTAAAAAGTACTGTAATTCAATATCAATGAATCTATCATCACTTTTAAATTACCTTTGAAGTAATTGCGTTATTGCACTCGTGACCGGGACCTTCATGCTCCATGCGGTTTTGAAAGTTTATCGGTAAATCGAACCTCTGTCAACAGAGACACATTTTCCCAATCAGCTATTTATTTCGGTACTGAAGTCAGGGTAGCAATTTCAATGTTTAGCTACCATAATTTATCTCCATTATGAGCAGGAAAATAAATTACGGACCTCGATTGAGATGGATTTAACGGCGGCCATGTTTTTAAGGGATATGTGAAATAATATTAGGGAGGGGGGTCAAAT